CCTGTCTATCGGCCGTGTATCCGCATCATGGCCACGCTGCTCTCCTGGCCGGGCCTGCACGAGCCGCCAACAAACAGCTGGCCACAGGTGGGTCCGGCGCGCACCCCGGTCCCCGTCCCCGCCCGCGATAGGTGACCGACAGTTGGCACTGTAGTGTGGGACACAAACTTTTGGAAAAAGGGTCATCCGTGGTATAGCGGCCTTGGTATAGCGTACCATTTTCTGCAATCATGGGATCAACCTCAGCGCCTGCAGCTGGTCCAAACGTTATATTCAGTTTTGTCACTGCTGTATGTAAAGTCAATATCGGTGTTGCGCTACTACTAATGTTGCCACTTTTCTGCTACACCCCGGTCTCTTTCCCCCGTTAGGCACCCCTCCAAAGACACCTTTCTGACCTCTAACTCGTCTAAGACTTCCTCTGAGTTCTGACCTGCCCTCCCTTCTTCACCGGCAGAGGCGGTGGGAAACCTGCGTCTGACCGACACCGGCCGCAGCCAGGCGGCGCCCAGTCAGCCGCAGTCTCAGCAGCCGACCACTCGCGCCTTCAGCCTTCTGGAGCAGCACGGCGTCTGTGCCGCAGATCGAGTGTGCGGCGAACCTGGCGCGCACGCTGGCGGCGCTGGCGGAGCTGTCGGCGGAACCGCGGCTGCATGAGACGCTCGGTACTATGCTGGAATGGGGTCGGTGTTTCCTAGGTCGAATATCGTTGCATCGATGGTCGCTAATGCCGGCACAGTGTGTCATGTGTGCTGTAATGCATGGTCATTCGCAAGGTTCTTCGAATGTTAGAACCACTTTTCGTTTAAAGTTTTTTTTGTCAAGTACCCCTGTTGACTGTAAATTGCGCGTATTATAACAACTCCCCTTCCCCGCTCCTCAGCCGACTGCGCCGAGTCACTACTGAAGCGGGAGTGGTTCTCTGCGGACGGCGCGCGCGAGTCGGGCGCCGCGTACGGCGGCCGGGTGTCCGCCCTGCTGCAGCTGGTACTGGCTCCCGCCGACGGACGCCTGCTGGAGCGGCTCGAGAGGCTGGCACAGACGGCGCTGGCCGAGCTGCTGGACTCGACCGGACGGGAGCCGGCCTCAGAGACCTACCCGACGCTGGCCAAGTGAGTGGAAACACACAGAGATTCTTACCTTCCACACAGACACACCTACTAAGACATACTCCCAGGTGAAACTCAATTCCTGCTGCATTTGGAAGTTCCTCTTTATACAGTTCGCATTGCCACTCTACCCTTCCGGGGCACCTCCGCACAGTCCACCCGCTGACCCACCCACCTCTGACCCCAGATCGACATTCGGCCACTACTACCGCGTCATGTTCGCCGCCCTGGTGGAGGCGATCCGCGGCGTGGTGTCGGCCGGCGGCTCGGAGCGCGGGCGACTCGACCGGTGGGCGGCGGCTCTGCGCGTCTTCAACCAGATGGTCGGCTGCCTGCGAGTGTTCAGCAGTCGGAGCGCCGTGGGAGTCTGTTTGAAGGTTAGTGGGGATGGCTGCCTGGTGTGGCGAATGTGGTCTGTCATGTGATGGAGTTGCTTGCCCTCGTGTGGCCGATCTGTCGGTCGACAGGACAGATCGACATTTCTTTGTTCGTGTTAGGGGTATTTAGACGATTGAATGTAGTGGGATTTGAATGCATACAATTTGATCGAATTGACTCCATCAAGCGTACGGAAGTTCGTGGGGCGACTCTTCAGATAATTTCCAGCCTCTGTAATCATTGTATGTAAGCCTACTTACCATCGTTTTTATAAATAAGTTTTCTCGAGGGCTTTCGGCCTCCCCGCGCCACTCGTTACCACAGTATCTACCGTTCGACCACGATGACGAACCGTCGTCATGGTCGCTGAATGTTGTCTCCAAAGAATCTCCTGCTAACCTCTGCGTCTCTCCGACACACTGAACGCAGTGATAACTCTCCCGCCGTCTCTGCCCGACAGCACTCTCGGCGGCTGGTCGACCTGTTTGTGCGCCACGCCATCCCCATGCTGGAGCTCATGCTGAAGCACCAGCGTGACGAGGTGCTTACCATTCTGAAGAACTTCCAGCTGAGCGCCCGGTACTTGCACCACGTGTGCAACCACTCCAAGGTGAGTGTCCCTCCTACTCCTCCCTACCGCGGGAGGAGGGACTGCTCTTGGTGTGGTCCTCCCTCGGAGTTCAACGGGTCCTTTTCGAAAATAACATGCTTACATATTTTTTTTTCATTTTGAAACAGATCCTTTGGAGGCGTTTTTGTTTTGTATAATTTACGGGTTCTAAGGAATGCTGTCGGGTCTACGGTTGCATTATTCGTGTAGGCATTCACGCATGTGTGATGAGCTATTAGTCCGTTCTAGTTATCTGCCACCCGCAACCGAGTGTGATACTGAGCTGCAGGGATCATAACCCTGCGCTGTCTGCGTGTGTTCCAGAGTCTGAAGGACGCCAGTCTGATGAACCACGTGCCCTACTTGAAGAAGGGTCTGGAGTCGTTTGTGTTCCGAGTCAAGGCCATGCTGGCACTGAATGGCTGCTCGGATGCCTTCTGGATGGGCAACCTGAAGAACCGCGACCTACGCGGCGAGGAGATTTTCTCCCAGGTAAGGAGAGGACGGGGTCGGAGCGATAGGTCCCATCTACTCTGTCAGTGGGTCCAGGGCCCCACTGACACTTAGGTCAGTTATAGCGCTATACCCACTGCTTTCCTTGTCGCTGTGTGCCAGACTCAACTCTTTACTGCATGAAGGGGCGGCATTGTGGCTCTCCAGTGTCATGCTTTGAGGCTTATTGTAATGCACAGACCGATGCATGGCATCTTCTACATATGCACTTAACTGTTTGCATATATGCATGGGGATGGGCAATTTGCATATGCAATATGTATGTATAATGTATATTGTTGTTTGTACCTATTTATGTATGCTAATTGCTAGGATACACTCAACTGTTCCCTGCCGAGCACTTTATGTATGCATTTATTTATATATTTCTTATATGTATCTTCCGCAGCGCTCTGAGCCGGACGACTCTACCGAGGCTGCCGAGTCTGAGGGCGAGGGCGCCGCCGACTCGGACCTCGACCTGGACGCGGCCGACGAGCGCTCCTCGCCCTCGCCCGCCTCTCCCGGGCGAGCGGCCGACGGAGAGGAGAAGCCCGAATCGGAGATAAGTGACGCCTACTGAGCAGTGGACGGGAACGGTCGCAGGTAGGCGACAGTGGGGGCAATGAGCGGGCAACAGTTGAGCATCGAGCGGGGAATGGCCGAGCAACGATCAGGGCCAGCGTCCGGGGAATGCTTGGGCAATACTCGGGATGGAGTAGACACCGAACGGTGAATGGTCGGGCAACGGTCGGCCGAAGCTGGAGGATTGAGCGACCCTCGAGCGAGCGATGGTCGGCAAGTCAGTTCTGAATGCGGGGTGATAATCTGTGTACAGTGAGGATTACTGACACGGAAGTGTTTTGTGCGTCTGCTTGTTTCATCTGAGCATTTGTATCATAGAAGCATTGCTATGTACTTCTTATACATACATTCTTATTTCCACTTTCCCTGTCTCCGTCGCGGAATAATTCTCGGAACGTACAGAGCTAGTTATGGCTGTCCAATGCACATGGTCAGTTGGCAAATGCACAGACATGACAGGCGTCAGTTAACTGTCAGCTCTGGTGCGAGGCTCATCTCTAGAGATTCTCAGACAGGCACGCTACACGTTTAGGTTAGGTGGGCCGCGGGGTAATGTGATCATTACTGTGAGGAACTTTTCAAGACTGGACTCGAGGCCGTGTTCTTTGAGGCTGGGATCCAGGAGCTGGTTTCAGCGGTGGATTCTGGGGATGGATTCTGAGGCTGGAGTCATGGTTAATTTCCAAGGGTTTGGTAGTTCCATTCTCAGCCCTATTACTGTTTTCCCAGTCCGGCCAGTGCGATCGGTTGCGTTAGTCCGGCAGTCCCAATCCTGACTGGAGAGTTAAAGGGACTGTCCCAACTTCTAAAATGTTGTTAAAACCAGTTAAATTGTGCCCGACTTTATAGATTGGATGACCAGGAACACGGTTCTGGCATTTATTTTTCATTAAACATCTTAGGCTTCCCATATTCCAAACACAAACTTTCAAATATGTGACGTCACAGCCCAAAATTACCTCCTTCCCCAGGCCACATTACTGTCATAAAGCTGATTCTTTTTACTCTGTAGGCACCACAACAAAGTTCAGACCAAGTTTTAAGCGATTTTTCAACGAACAAACCCATTTAAATCAGAATGACTAAACGAGGTGACGTCACAGTAACGGTCGCTCCATGTTGAAGATAGGGCCTTGCACAAGGCCCATTTTCAAATGAAGGGAACGAATTTCTTCAACACCAAGAGGCCGCGGGGGTTGCAACCTAGATAGATAGTGGTTTCTGAGCCTCGCCGCAAACTTGGCTATCTCAACTCAAACCCCATGTTAAAGGTGGGATAGTCCCTTTAAGGCATTCCCAAGTCATGCCCTTTACCTGTTCCCTTTAACCCGCGCCCTGCTGGGGGGGGGGGTGTTTGAACACCCCCCTTGTGGTTTTTCGCGAATATCTCAAAAACGGCGGCGCTCCGCGCCGCCGTTTTTGGTACACCTTAGCACACATCAATTCTACACATGTTGTGAAAATTTCAGACCAAGGTCATTGAAGGTCAGGTCACCAGGTCACTTGAAGTGACCTCACCTCATAAAAAGTTTCAATGTCTGTCATAGCTACACCGAGTGACCAATTGCTTTGAAACTTTCAGCGATTGCTAAGAGCAATAGCATGTACAAAATGTATATCTCAGAATTTTGATATCGATGACCTAAGGTCAGGTCAATTTTGCGACCTCCCCATTATAAGTCAATGGGAGAAAATTGAAATGCGCCGCTTTTGGACAAAAGACATTATAAACACTCCCAAACACCGAATTACAAGTGGTTTAGACACACTGAACATGAAAATGGTGTCCATGACCCTTGTTTATGCCCTGAGGTCATCTTAGGTCACGAATGGTATCTAACAGTTTTTCGCAAATAACTTTTGATAGAGGCATGCTAGAGCGATGAAAACGCCTTAGATGTGTTCAGCTCGACGATACGGATCGACTGATATGCAACATGACCCTTTCCGGTCAGGTCATGACCTTGACCTGAGGTCAAATTTTCAAGTTGACCTTTCAAGGTCAAGTTATAGTTCATTCGATGCGTCTTGACGAGAGGAACACGATGCCGGTAAAAGTAAGCTCGTACAAGGCTTGGGTCAAAAGTTATTGCAGAAAAACTGTTTCCGAAAAAATCGGCTATTTTTGCAGTTTTGCCCCCTGCAGGCAAAACCGTTGACGTTAGGTCAAATCTGAGAGAATTACTCAGAAAGGGCGTTAATAGGGCTATCGAATGCGCTTTTCCGCGGCGCTGTAGCTCTATTGGTTCCGAGTTATGCGTTGGCTTCTTGGAAATTTTCGACATTCGACCTGGAAATCGGCGAAATTTTGCCTTCAATGACCTCTGGTGACCTGACCTTTGACCTGACCAAAAAATTGACCGAAGTGATTTCGTCATTATTTTTGACGCTCTTTCGAACGCCGCCTTCCGCGTATCGCTACGTGGCCCAGGAGCCGAGTTACAAGGGGGGGGGGGTGTTCAAACACCCCCCCCCCCAGCAGGGCGTGGAAATCCAGGACCCCAGCCGGGCGCGGGTTAATTGCCGATTAACTGTCGTCTTCTCTTCCCGGGAGCTAATTAGGGTGTTGTTAAGCGCTGTCTGATGTAAATAGCTGGCACGAAAAGGGGCTCGTTCGTTTATGGCGTCATGCTTCCAAGGTGACTCGGCGAAAAAAAGAAAATGATGCAAGACTGCTGGCTTTATTTGCACTTTAATTACACAGTTTTCCGAACAATCGTGATGATGATCTAAACTCAAAAACCTTAGAAGTCCTTGTTCATTTCATTTAGAGGTATCCTGGATGCCGGGTGGTCGCTCCCAAGCTACTCCAGTTGCACCGAAGTTACCCAACAACACTGCATCCAAACTGCATGACGGAGATGTCCACTTACAGGAAGGCATTATAATTCTCAGACTACATTTAAAACCGTTTATTGTTATGCAAAACAATAAATGACATTGCACTTCACAGGTTAATGATCACAGCTAAAATGGCTGTTTGGTTTGTCGGCTGTCGCTCGCTGCATGCGGCGCCGCTATCCAGCAGGACCCGTGACATAAGTTATGGCACGGTCACCCTCAATTATTGGAGTTTTAATTTCTGGGCGCCGACGCCAAGATACTGGGCGTTTCCCTTCCGCTCCTACTGAGACCGTGTCGGTAGAAGCGCGATGTTCACCCATACCGTCTCATACATAAACGGCAGACAGCCACCGGCGTACTTCTGGCACGCCACAGAGTGGACGCTGTGGGTCATCAGGAACCCGGCGTCCCTTAGCTTACCCAGCGCCTCGAGGAACCGGCGGGCTCCCTCTGCACTGACGTGCGGCGCCACCTCTGACTGCTGTATCCCCACTCCGGATGTCAGCTGCCCGTACGGATGGGTGAGATGCAGCTCGAGCGCCAGCTGACGAACCTGCCGCAGCGTGGCGCCGGCGGTCAACAGGACCTCCCACTCACTCCCCTCGACATCCAGCTTTAGGTAGTCTATGACGCCCGTCTCCAGACCGGCTCGTGCCGCGGCAGAGGCCAGGCTGAGCACGGGAAACGTGCCGCTGTGGCCGTCGGCGGCGGCCACGCCCTCCGCGTGGAAGAACACCCGCTCGGAGCGGCGGTAACTGTCGCGACCCATGGTCGGGTCAAACGCGTGTACCGTGCAGCCGAGGTCAGACATCTGGTCGTCGAAGCTGAAGTCGTTGTTGATTCCAAATGAGAGCACGGAGCAGTTGGCGTGCAGCCAGTCGAGACAGGTGGGTTTCACGCCGTCCGTCTGTCCCAGCACGGTCTCGTTGTTGATCATGCAGTTGAAGCACCGGCCGCCGAGACCGCGCTGACTGTGGCAGAGGGACTCGGCGGGTAGTGATTCCAGCTCCGTCTGCAGCCGGGTGAACAGAGCGTCGGACCGACTGATGGAGAGGGCGGCGGACGACCGACCCTTGGTAAAGGGAGCGGCGGCCGGCGCTGGCGGTCTGTGTATTGATGGCGACCCCCTGCCGGCATACGGGTATAGTTAAACTGGGTACACACAAAACATCAGGATGCAGTCGTAGCAGATTCAGACTGACACACAGGGCGTGGCTGTTAGACAAACTTTGAAAAGAAGGCGGAGTTAATGACTAGATTTGCGGAGCATTTTAATCTTTTAAATGCTTTCCCTCTATTTTCCAACGTTAGTTGCAACTGAAAGCCATTGGGTCATCTAATTTTAACACCAATCATCCAATGATTCGATCTCTGATGTTCAGTGCCCACTCACCCGAATGTGTTCTCCAAAGAAACTGCCAAATAAGTAGCGACGCCAGTGAAAAGTATGATCGCGTAGAGCGACCTCGCCTTGGTCTTACGGATGATACTTTTCAACTGCCGATGCATGTCTTGCCGGATAGTGCTTTGTAGTAGAAATTAATTGTCTCTGTTTGAGACGAAAACTAATGATTCAGTCATGAGTTCATCCTGTGGGGGAAAACGAAATGTCAGTCGGTCCTAAGAAGACAAATGACAATTTAGCGACAATCTACTTCAGCCTGCATTTTGTCGAAAATCTCAGGTTTCCATGACCTGATTTCTGAGCTTTCTGAGACATGACCCAATGATTTACCTTGTAGGTTTACCAATGAGTTACCAGTATACGTAATAAATGAAATATGTGAAACGAAAACAACTTGACGAGACAAGTTTATTTTAGATAAACAAGTTTATTTTAGATTTTAGATAACAAGTTTATTTTTAGATGAAATTGCTCTTGGAACCGCTGAACACCCTCAAAAATGGCGCTATAATGTTGGAATTCGTTTACAGCCCAAATACTACATGTTATAGAAATTTTTAAAGGGAAGTAAAAGTTGCTATTTTCTAACGAAATTCACCTTTTATTTTTTGAATAAAACTAAGAGGGGGAAAATTTTGACATTTGTTCTCGAGTTAGTTCTACCGATGACAAATGAATAGAGACTAAAGTTATTTCATTCACTTTTATCAGCTTTCGTACAGGTGGGGGCGGCCAATTTACACCACCGGCCAAATTACCCCACTCTCCCCTAGCAGCACAGGATTTTTATCCATCAGCAATGCAAGGCATTACATTTAAATCCGTCCCTACTCACGTGGTTCGAGCGGAGGTCCTTCCAATCAGGCAGCCGCTGTATGGCCGGTGTGCTGCTGACCGGACCGCCCGTTCTCTGCTCTCCCGTCCCTTGGAGAGGCCGGCGCGGCCCGTGCACCGCCGCCGCGGGCGCCGTGCAGGTGAATGACCCGCCCGCCCCTGGCGGTCGTTAGTGAACGGGCTCACGGCCGGCGGACGGGCGGCAGGCTGTGGCGAGAGGAGCGGTGCAGCCGAGATGCGGCGGAGAGGGCCTCCGTGGAGCGGCCCGGTCTGGCTCTATAGCGACTGCACAGTGCACGGCCCAGTCCTAACAAAGGCCGTAAACACGGTTCGACAGCATTGAATGAAGTTCAGCTTTAATAAACGCTTATGCATAGATAACGATTCATGTTATCTATGGCTTATGAAATGCAAAGTGGTTTTAATGCATTTTACTCCATCGTAAATTGACACTCGTTCCTGTTTGTCAGTAGCAGGCAGCGTCGTTATTGATACTACCACCGTAGATATGAAAGTACGACACTTCAGAAGCTTGGCCCGTGGATGGCTGAGCTTTCTCGCCTATGTCTCTGTCACTTTGGTCTCGCCAAGGAGGAGTGCAGCTACTGGAAGATCCCTGTCACCTGTCGTTGCTGTACTGGGAGACTCCGATCACCTGTCGCCCCTGTATCCGAATTTTCTTTACGTACCGAAAGACCTGGGCGTAAATACGAGTGCCACGTTTTGTTATTATATCGGCGAGGAATCGTTTACCGTTTGGCGGTGTAACCGCTTGGCGGGGACGGTAACCATCTTCAAGGGAAGGTTTTATAGATCGTACCAATTTATCGGCAAAAAGTTAGACGGAGGTTCAAAGGTCTTAGATCGCTATATCATTCCGGATTTATAAGCCTGTGCAGTGTGCATTGTGCTGCCGGTTACAGCTCATATGTCTTCTGCCGTCTGTTTTTTTTTTTATTATTTGTTTATGTCTTGCTTATTACCCGCATGCATATTGCATATCGTATATCATAATATCTATAACTCTGCCCTCTCATTGGTCACGAAGCGATAAACGGCCCACAATGCTCGAAAGGTTGTGGGACTGGGAGATCATCATAATTTTCCTCGGCATTTTGTAGATTTCAAGTCATTTTTTAACAGTCAAAAGGGCCGCGCCACTAAAGGTCAGAAAATATTTTTGTCCCTATGTGAGTTGTTGGTCAAATCAGCTCATAGCGCTTGCACAAAGGGACCTGCAACAATGCGGAAGAAAAGATTCAGTACCTCTCGTGAAGTCCCCTTTCACAGTATCCTCTAACTCCGATAAATATTTTGCTTCCTGGTACCATAAAACGGAAACGTTTTCTTCCTAAAACCGTCAAAAGCAATAACTTTTACACCAACCTGTGCTCCTAGGCATATAAGCGTTTTTTTTTTACCGTCCATTATGTCACATCAAGGCGTAGCAGTTAACCCGCGCCAGGTCGGGAGGGGCGACGGTTGTTTCGTCATGATTTTTACCGCTCATTCGAACACCGCTTACCGCGTGTCGCTGAGTGGCCCAGGAGCCGAGTTAGAACAGGGGGCGGGGGAGGGTGTTCAAACACCTCCCTCCGGCCCGGCTCGGTTGGCGCCGAGCACCGGCCCGGCGCGGGCTAATGGCTGATTTGAAGTTAAAAGGCTGACAAACGCTAATATCCGGTTAAGGCCATGACCTGACCGGTACGGATCGTAATGCACTTAATTAGCCTGTTTCGCTCATATTAAACTGACCGCCTCGAGCCGGGTTATAATTTGTCTGTAACAACGCTAGACCCCACATAACCCCAAGTTTGATGTGGGAAGAGGTCGATAACGGTACAGCCCACTTTAATTTAATTGTGACGAGTAAAATCTTAGACCAACCAGCGCCTGGCCATTTTCAGGTCATTGGACAAAACGAGCCGTATCTGTGTGTTCGGGTGAGCAAGTCATTTTAAATATTATATGCGCTATTCAGATTGATTTGCTTGAGGTGAGCAACCGTCTGGTTGCTTTTCGACCGTCCCAAACTTTTAACCTTCCAGGCGGTGGGGGGGGGGGGCATTTTTTGCCCCCCTTTAGTTTTTTCGATATATCTTGAGAACCGCTGCGCCGATCGTCACCAAACTTTCAGTACCCTCCCGGGAGTAGCTAGCGCACATGGTGACCAAATTTTTTTCCAAAGGCTATGATGGGTTGGCCGCTTATGACGTCAGAGTGACGTCAATTCTGCCATTTTCGACCCAAAAAAGGTTTCGCGGGAAGAGCTGTCAGGCCTACAGCTTAAGAGATACAGAAAAATGTTTCAGACATAAAAGGTGTGGAATTAAAAGGGCTACAAAACTGCTATCTTCGGTTGTTCGATTTTTTTTGGATTTTGACCCCCAAAATAAAAAATATTTTTGAATATAATAGCCAAAAAATCCAAAAAGTTTTTATGAATTTCGAAAAAAACGGTGTAAATGCCGAACAGTCATTTGCAAGTGGTTAGTGCGAAAGAAGGCTCGTCACGTGAGACATCCATATAAATTTGAATTTGGGTTACCAATATTATCTACGTCTTTTTACTGTTTTTCGAATTTTAAGTTTAGTTAGACTTATCTTTGTTTAAGTTTTGGTTTAAGTTGAATAAGAAACGATAAGAAACGGACGAACGAACTGAACTGAACATAACGAAGGAAACGAAACGAAAAATCAAGATCGTACGAAACTACGAACTGTCAAGTTATGTCAAGTGCGCTTTTGGACGTGGCTTAATTTATCGTGACCTAGTTGGGTTTCATAAGGTATTACCTACTTAAATTTCAGCCTTGTCTGTCCGAAACCTTTGTTACCAGCAATACAGTATTTTCAGATTGTTTTTGATTGCGGTGTTGACAATTAGGACAAGAGCTGAAACAGTAACAAAGTTCGTTTCGACGTTCGAAGTAGGGTAGCCTGGGCAAGACGCCCCAGATAATTTATTTTGCTACATAACTTTTGTCCCACATCACCTGGAAGGCCAAATTTGTGCTCAATGCGTTTTTTTGGACATTTTACTTTAAATTCCACCCCTCAAATTCATTCACTTATGATCGGACTCCCAGCTAGGAAGTGATTTGTGAAGCAACTGCAAATGGGGCATTTTGCCCCAACCCCAGGGCAAAACGCCCCACGGCCTGGGGCAAGACGCCCCATACTCTAGATTAAAGATTGAACATGCTAGTTGACTAAATCTTATATGAGAGGCCCGTTAGACTTTGGGAGGCACGGCACTGAAGTTAGCACCTTCCATCCTGTCAGGTGTTCAGCTATGACACTATTGTATGTACAGGTTTTTCACCTGCTTCATAAGGCCAAATAATAAATTATTGCAATGCAAATGTTAACAAAATGCTTCCTTTGTCATTAATTTGCTGAGAAAGGTACATAAAATTGCATAGAAACTTACTGTTCGCCAGCAACCGAACATTAGGAAGTGGGTAGTCGGAACAACACATGAGGTAAAACGCCCCATGGGGCTTTTTGCCCCGCGACCTACTGGGGCGTTTTACCCCATCACGTAGTTTGGTCAGAGAACAACGCCTTGCACTCCAGCAAGGCATAATTTAAAACGGACCAACCCAGCATTATAAGCGTTAGACAATAGTTGTTCAAAATACATAAAAGTCGTTAACCTGATGTGAACCATAAAAGAACGCCATGATGCATAATCTGACTACAAAACATAAAAATCACTCCAAAAACAAATTTTTGGCTATATCTCCCTAAAGAGTTATCACAATATCTTTCCAGTCTGCTCATATAATGATCATATAGTGCACGTTTTAAAGAAGAGAGAATGTTTCCCCAGAACCTTGCCAGTTCCGAGAAATATCGGTGAGGCGTTTTACCTCGGCGGGGCGACTTGCCCCGGTCTACCCTAAGGGTAACGTAAAGTAGTTGTAACCGGTAACTGTAAACTCGAACCTACCAGGTCCTAAAGTAATTAAATTATGTCTGGAAGATCAAGAAGTGTTAGTAGCTGTGGCAGTGAAGGGGAGGTGGACCATTTATCTGTCTCCTCCCAATCGTACGCAAATTCTGAACGCATTCGTGAAGCTGCCATAAGGGCGGGCTTGGCGGCCAAGCTGGCAGTTATGGAAGAACTGCATGCTCTCGAAGACGCCGAAACCAAAATTAGACAGCGAAAAGAGGAAATGGAACTTAACCTTCGCCCTGGTGGGGGGGGGGGCCATTTTGGCCCCCCCCTGTGGTTTTTCAGCGATAACTCAGAAACCACTTGAGTTAGCGCCCTGAAACTTTGTATAGCTGTTTATTCAACATTTTTACATCATGTCCTTTTTTGGGGGGTTCGGGTCAGGTCAGGTCAGGTCACAAGGTCACCAAAACTGACACCACCTCTAAAAAAGTTCAAAGCTCTCTCAAAGGCACAGCTTTTATCCGATCGATGTAAAATTTACAGTACTTGAAGATGTCACCCAGCTCTACAAAATGGCTATCTCGGATTTTTTATAAATGTGACCTAAGGTCAGGTCAGGTCATCGCTGCTCCCCATTATAAGTCAATGGGAGAATCGAAAAGTAGTTGTTTTTCAGCTAAATCGGGCGTGATTGTTCCTATATTTCGTTATTGAAGTGTCTTGGGTCAGCAAATCACAGCCCATGTGAAACCATTTGCTTGTGACCTCGCTGAGGTCACGCTAGGTCATCTCCCTGGTCACCAGAGGTCACCAGCGGTTTTTTCTGCACTTACTTGTTATTGAATAGAGATAGAGACTCCATTCGACGTTTATCGTGTTTGTCTCGTCAATGCGGATCGAATGATATGCAGCATGACCTATTTCGGTAAGGTCATGACCTTGACCTGAGGTCAAATTTTCAAAATGACCTTTCGAGGTCAAACTATATATCATTCGACGCGTCTCGACGAGCCAAGCACGATGGTGCATGAATCGTTTCTCTATTTTCTCGTGAATGCATGCTATAGTTAAAAACATTTTCAACGAAATTTGCCAAGTTGACCTTGCATGACCTCTGTAGGCCAAACCGTTGAGCTGAGGTCAAATCTGACGAACCTTGGCGAAAGAGCTTGAAAAGAGCTATCGATTGCTTTTTTCCGCGGCTCTCTAGCTCTTCTAGTTTCCGAGCTACAGCGGAATATGTCCGGCAACACCGAAAACACTGAAATTTGACCTATGATGACCTCTAGCGACCTCAATATTGACCTTAGCGAAAAAATGACCGAAATACTTTCGAACGTACTTGTTATGGGCTTTCGTTTGCTTTTTTCCGCGTCTTCCTAGCCCTCTTCGTTTTCGAGTTAGACGGGGGGGTCATTTTGGCCCCCCCCCACCAGGGCGAAGGTGGCTCAGACCCACACCAGGGCGCGGGTTAAGCTGCAGTTAGAACAAGCCAGGGCGAAGGAAGGGGTTTTTGAAATATTCAGTCGAAAGAAGTACGACGAAAATCTAATGACGAACGAACGAAACGATTACGATGATCGAGGCGGACTTTCGACGAAACCGACTGAAATAAAAACCGAATTCCAACCAGCCGAACCGAATCTACACGAAAACCCCACTGCGAGACAAGGTCCATCCATAGAGAGGTCAAGTATCGAGCTGGTCAGAAAGATGCAACTGCCTACATTACAGCTCCAGCCGTTTAACGGGGACCCTACTCTATACACCAACTTTATACGGGGATTTGATGCCAAAATTGCTTGTAGAGTTGAAGATGAAGAAGAAAAATTGTATTATTTAGATCAGTACACAATTGGGAAGCCAAAGGACATTGTTTCGTCCTGTTTGTATATGCCGCCCGGGGAAGGCTATGCTGAAGCGCGACGACTCCTTCAAGAGCGCTACGGAAATGTTGTTCAAACGGTGGCTTATATGATCGAAAAAATTGTTTTGTGGCCATCTATCAGATCCGAAACCGATGATTTAGACAAGTTTGTGATATTTCTGAGAGGCACTTGGAATGCGTTGAAGGCTATGCCACAAGGGATTAACGAAATCGATTCGAAAACGATACGAACGATTTTAGATAAACTGAACTCGTCGATAAAGGATCGTTGGCGGCGTCTCGTCGACCGAATCGAATACGAAGAAACCCGCATCGCGACCTTTGCCGACCTGGTAAAATTATTAGAACGAGAAGTACGAATCAATATGAATCCATCTTACGGTCAACAATTTGATAGTCAGATGTATGCTTCGTTGGCAGCATCCTCTTCGTCGGCTTTACCCTCTCACTCCGGAACAAGACCTCTTGATAGCCTTAAATCCACAGTTTCAGCCGGTGGATGCGAGGTATGTGCGCAAGGACATCCGATTCATGAGTGTCCGGAGTTTTTGCGCTGGGAGCCAGATGAACGGAAGAACTTTATATTGAAACAAGGGCTTTGCTTTGGGTGTCTAGGCAAAGGGCATATTAGTAAAAATTGTCGCAATCGCCAAACATGTCGCATTTGTCAGGGAAAGCATCCTACGGTTCTACACATCAAAAAGGATTCCCGAGAAGTAAAGCCAAGCGCTATTACATCATGTCATTTGTCGGCAGATCAGTTATGTCACATGGGAGCTAAATTGCCGATCGTTTCTGTATTGGTGAAATTTGGAAATAAGGAATTACGGACAAGCGCCTTTCTCGACTCGGGAAGTACACATTCATTCTGTTCGGGGAAACTTTTCGAACAATTGGGTGTTGTAAGGAGGAATCGCATCGCTTTAAATCTTACCACCGTGGATCGTGAACGCCAACTTGAAGGATACGTAGTTCAAGGATTACGCATGACCAATGAAGACCGCAGTTATCCTGTAGACCTCCCCCCATTGTTTACATTGGACCATATTCCAGTGTCGGAAGATGACGTCGTTCAAGTTAATGATTTAAGTTCGTGGGACTATTTGGCGCAGAGTGACATCACACTGTACGATGGCAAAACTGAAGTTGGTTTACTACTCGGCAATGATTGTGGGTATGCCATGGAGCCTCTGGAAGTTATACCGAGTAAAAATGGAGGGCCCTACGCCATTCGTAGGTATGGATGGATCGTTGGTGGAGCACGGAAGCAGAGAGCATCGATGAGGGTCAGTAATATACTGGTGAGGAACGTAATGAATGGACAAGAGATAGGAGATAATTTAGCAGACTCTCGGACGGCATCATCTGTGGAGGACGGGCTTTGGCTAAAAAAGGTGCTACAACATGCCGGCGGCGTGAAGGTAGATACGAGATCGGCCTCCCATTCAGTAGCGACAAGCCGATGCTTTCAAATAATTACGGGGTAGCACGGAAGAGGCTCGAGACTCTGAAGACTAAATTTAAGAAGTGTGCATCCTTTGCGGAAGACTATAAGAGACAAATGAGAGAACTCATAAGTAAAGGCTATGCGGAGAGAGTTCATAAGAACCCTGATTATCGAATGGGACAAGGTCCTCGCTGGTATCTACCACATCATGGGGTTTATCACTCGCAGAAGCCAGATAAAGTAAGAATCGTTTTCGACTGCGCCGCAAGGTACACCAATATATGTCTGAATGACGTTCTGGCACAGGGTCCAGAATTAACCAACTCTTTGATGGACGTGTTGCTCCGATTCAGACAGGAAGAGATAGCCTTCACAGCGGACGTATCTGAAATGTTTTTGCAAGTTAATGTCCCAGAAGCCGATAGAGATTATTTGAGATTTTTGTGGTGGCCCAATGGTGATGAAAACACGCCCCCAAGAGTATATAGAATGACGGTGCACATTTTTGGCGCAACGTCTTCCCCCAGCTGCGCCAACTACGCTTTACGCAGAACGGCTGACGATTTTGGCTACATATTCCAAATGGAAGCAGCGCAAACTATTTTTGACAACTTTTACGTTGATGACTGTTTAAAATCTGTAAAATCGGAAAAAGAAGCAATTGATCTAATACAAGATCTTCGGCAGCTTTGTGACTTGGGCGGATTTACTTTAACCAAGTTCGTGAGCAATCGTTCGTCGGTGTTGGAGACGATTCCCCTAGATCATCGCTCAAAAAAGGTGAAGGAAATCAGGCTCGGAATCGATCAACTCCCGGCCGAGCGCGCTCTTGGCGTACATTGGGATGTTGAAGCCGACACACTGGGCTTCAAGGTCGACGTTAGCGCGTTTCAAGACAGGCCATTGACAAGGAGGGGACTATTATCTGTGATCTCAGGGGTATATGACCCGCTCGGGCTGGCGTCGCCATTCGTTATGCGAGGGCGATTGCTTCTTCAGGAGTTATCACGCTTGAAGATAGATTGGGATAGCGATATTCCATACGACTTTCAGAAGGCTTGGAAGTTATGGTTGTGTGAGCTAGAAATACTAACGAAATTCCGAGTACCCCGATGTTTCAAAGCAACTAAGGAAGACACTGCATTGGAATTACATTATTTTGCGGATGCTAGCGAGAAGAGTTATGGTGTGGCAGCTTATGTAAGGCAAGTGGACAGGCATGGCGATGTCATGTCTTGCTCCTTGCTCATGAGCAAGTCCCACGTGGCACCCCTGAAGAGTATCAGTATTCCTCGCTTAGAGCTCTGTGCGGCCGCGCTAGCTGTCAAAACGAACTTTACTTTGGAACGCGCACTGAGTGTCCCGATTATGGCTGTACATTTTTGGACGGACAGCACTACTGTTCTTAAATACATCCGAAATGTAACAGCAAGGTTTCAGGTATTCGTGGCAAATCGACTGTCTATCATACACGATGGATCTTCAGTTCAGCAGTGGAAGTACGTGCCGTCGGCTCACAATCCAGCGGACGTCATAACTCGTGGACAGAAGGGAGAAGCGTTCCTAGACAATGAGATGTGGAGGCGCGGTCCATGTTTCCTATGGTCGAACTCATTGCCTGCTCAGCCTAAAGAGGACAGCTTACCGCCCACGGATCTGGAATTCAAGAAGGTGTCAGTCGCCTTAACGACTCAAAGGCAGCCAGATATAGATCCAGTAAGTCGGCTGTCGGAACATT